CACATAGTGAACTGAGGAATACAGCCATATACTGTGATGGAGCCTCCTTAATTTAACCAATTCAAAACCAAAGCAATGGCCAAAAGAAAATTAAACAAAGAAAAGAAGAGAACACTCAGTCAACTCAAAATGAACTGTTTCTCCACAACCTGCCGAAACAAAGCCAAAATCACCGAATCCAACCGGATGAATCGATTAGCGGAACAATTTGAAACGTTCATAACCAACAATCCAAAGCGACACTCATAAACACTAAAAAGATTGCTTTAGGAAAAGGTCTCAACTTCGTTCCCACTCCCGCTAAATCAAACCACACCGAACTTATAAAAGTTATAACCGCCTTCAAAATGAAGACTCAGAATTGCATTTCTAATGCACGACAAACAATCCAACAACCATCCTTTCAAACTTCAATCAACTTGGCATCCAAAATCCACACCGAGTGCAACACTAGAACAATACTTGGAAGCCACTAAATTCCAACTTGCCCACATCAGACTACGATATCGGCAAAACAACATTTCCAAATCTGAACTAGCCACTCTTAGAAGGCTTAAAAACAACCCCAACATCGTACTTAAACCCTATGACAAGGGCAGAGGTATCTGCATTATGGATATCCAGGACTACCCTAACATGGGTTCCCGGCATCTTGAGTCCCACCATTACACTGAATTGGACCAAGGCATAACCCCGCAAACCACAACCCTGGTTCACAACATGCTCAATGAAATGAAAACAACAACCAAATCGACAATGTCACTCTGAGCTATTCAAATCCACTTCCACAGAAATGCCAAAGTCCAACCGTGTACTTCCTCCCCAAAAGACATAAAACTCCACCACCGGGAGAACCCTTTGTTGGACGCCAAATCATAAGCAGATGCACAAGTCCAACAAATCCAATAGTCCAAAAATCTCTGAATATATTGACTACTTTCTCCCTCCCATAGTAACCGCGAAGCCAACATATGTCTGCGACACAGCAGACTTACTGTGCCAATTGGAAGGAACAACCTTTCCACAAGCACTGATGCTGTTTCAATGTACACAAATGTCCGCCAAGCAGAAGCAATCCAATGTGTATGTGACGCTTTGAACAAATCCAACTACACTATCACAAAACCCAACTCGACCTACGTCCAATCACTTTTGGCACTCATCCTCGGCCGCAACTGTTTCCGCTTCGGAAAGAAATTCTTTCTCCAGAAAATTGGATGTGCCATAGGCTCCACAGCCAGCCCAGAAATTTGTGATATTACCCTCCATAAATTTGAGAACGAAATACTCCATACAGCATACAACATCTTCATATGGTGGCGATACAGAGATGACATACTAGTCATCTACAGCGGAAATGTCAACCAATTCCAAGAATTTGTTGCTCACATGAACGAACTTCACCCAAATCTCAAGTTCACATACGAGGCCTCCGAAACAATAAACTACCCCGACCTCACTATTTTCAAAGGAAAACACTTCCATGAAACGGGCATTCTAGACACAAAGATCTATGAAACCCATGGAAACACTCCAATATCTCCATAAAACCTCCTCCCACCTACCTCACACATTCTGGGCATTCATATATGGCTAAACCCTCCATTACGCCAGGAACACAACAAACGAGGAGGACTTCAAACTCAAGGTCAAATCTTTTTCGGAAAAACTACTCAACAGAGGATACACCCCAACAGAAATCAAAGCAACTACATCCAAAGTCTCACATGCCGAACGATCAAGGCTAATAAACAATACGAAGGATGCAACAAACCACAAAAACCAAAACAAACAAGTCTTCGTTACCACCTATAACCCAGCCATTACCCACCGTGATCTTCATCGAGCTTTAAACAAACATTGGCACCTCATACAAAG